CTAACAACTACAGGGCATTTATGACTAGTCTTTGGGGTTGCAGTGGAGTGAGGAGGGGAAATTACTTGAAGTGGCTTGAGGGAGCTTCCAAGAACTGCCAGTATCTTGGATACTGACAGGAAGTAGATACAAGAAGTGGATTTCTTCAGACCCCTCCACTTGTCTCTGCTCTTGGAATCTGACATCAGATGTTGTTTGAACTGTCTGAAGCAGTATTCTCTTGCACCCTGCCTAAAGTTGGGTAGGGTTTGTGGTAGAAGTGGAAGGTTCTTTTTTAAAAAAATATGGAATACTTCACAAATTTGCTCGGCATCCTTACGCAGGGGGCATAATTCCAATTTTAGTATATGTGCTGCCTAAGCGAGCATGGTGGAAAGTTCTTAAGGCAGGCAGAGGCTGAATTTCCCTTGGGCTTCTGCTGCTTTACTACAATGTGTTATTTGCTTTTCCAGTCACGTGCATAGCCACCCTTGTGCAGTCTGTTGAGGTAGATACTGGCTGCCAGGCCAATCAAGAGGCCATATTCCCCAGTGTTTCACAGTGGTGCAGGGTGTCCCATTTAGAAGATCCAGCAACTGCAGGATGTTGGTGGTATGGCTGCCGCCCCTGTGTACTTTAGATGACTTCGTTCTGGGCTTAGCACATCTGGTGGCCCCCGATCCAGGTGATTACAGCGATGGTGACACCGCATCATCAGCAACCTCTTGTATTACCAAAACAACTATTTTAATCTGTTTAGGCTTTGGTCTTGTTCTGGCCATGTGAGTGAGTGAAGGAGGGAAGCTGAGGGCAGGCCAGGGATGCCTGCAGGGCCTGGAAGACAAACCTAGGGAGTCACTGAGGGGAGGGAAGGGGAAGGGGGAGGTGTCTGAGAAGGATGCAAGACTTAAGGAGGGTGAATCTAGTAGAGATGGAAGTCCTGGAGAGGAGACCTGCGGGTGATGCTAAGGAGATGAAACATGGTAAGAGGTGTCAAAGGGGGATCAAGAATCTTTGGATGGTGCAAAATTAACAGGCTTGACTGCTAAAAGAAATGTTGGACAATCGAGTCTATCCAGAGGTATCTGAGAAAAAAGGCCTGATGATCTACTTCCAGAAAAATCAGTCTCTAAACACAGTTCTATCCTGACACACATTTGGGATTTTTGTTTGGAGGAGAATGGAGCCTGATTAAGGATTTGAGAGATAGAGGATATGAAGGGACAACTTGGAGAAAGTAGATTAAGTGAGAACTGAAAAGGATAAGATAGAGGGCTGAGAGGAGGGGACTTGAAGCTAAGGGGCTAAATTCACTAAATCTCTATTTTTAAGATGGAGGGTGACTGCAGCAATATGTTCAAGTGTGTCAGAGATGATGAGGATGGAAGAGAGTCGCTATGAGGTGTACTCAATAGTAACTAACAACAAAAATGGAGGATATGAGGGTTCCTGAAAAATGTATTTTGGGCTTGGTAACTTTGAGTAGTATAAGTGTATACTGAGTATATTGAGTGTATAAGGTGGTCCAGGAGGACTGAGGTAGGAGCACCGATGGCACAGTGATTAAGCACTTGGCTGCTTATCTAAAGATAAGTATGGTTTGATTCTACCAGTGGCTCCACAGGAGAAAGCTGTGGTAGACTGCATCCATAAAGACTTACAGCCTTGGAAACCCTATGGGTCCATTCTCTCCTACAGGGTCACTGTAAATTGGAATTGACTGGACAGCAACTAGCTTGGTTTGGAGGACTCAGAGCAGGGAAAGGGACATGGTAAAGGTGACAGGCTTAAAAGGTGGAGTTCTGGAAGATAGCTACAGTGGACTTGTAGATAGTAGGAGCCTGGCTGTCACTCAAGGAGGGGACAGTTTATTGGGGAACTTCGGTCCAAAGGGTGAGGGATGGAGAATCTAGGCTTGGGCAGAGTTAGAAGCCCTGGGCTGGAGGCCTAGAGAGGTTCTAGCAGTATGGAGAATATTGTTTAGGGAAATGGGAGCTTAGGGAGTTTGAAGGGGAAAGTCTGGAATGGGGTACAGTAAGGATGATGGTCCTGGAAAGAGGGCCCAAGGCTTGGAAGAAGAATCTGTAAGGGTTGGGCCCAAAGGAGAAACTTCCCAAGTTGGTAAGATGCCTAGAAAAGGGTCATGTGGGAATGGAGTCATGTGGAAGTAGTGTCGGAAGGAAGGTTGGGATCCTATGGATTTAGCTGCATGGTAAGGGAAGTAGAGGAAAAATGTTCCATGTAATATACATGAAGGAAATTGGGGGAATGCAAGATCCTGAGAATGTGAAGTACTGGAGAGGTGGAGGCAGGAATGACAGGCCTTTTTGCAGGCTGGAGGGTATGAAGTAGGGGACCAAAACAGTTGGAGATATGGGCTCAGGTGGACTGGACTGAGAGGCCCTCTCTGCCTGCCATGCTTGCTTTTGTCCCTTGTCCCAGCAGGTACGTGCACCCACTGCATACTCTCCTAAGTGCCCTGGTAGTAGCAATAGCACTGGACATGCTTATGTGGATGGCTCAAACATGCATGACCATGCACCTTTGCCTCCACAGTAATCCTGCCGTCTGTCTGGCCTCCTCATTCTCTGGCCCAGGGAGCCACCTGCACTTTCCTACTCAGTATCACCGGGCCTATGCTCAGTAAGTTTTGACTACCTTGGGACTCCTGGAAAGGGCCAGCGCATGCACAAGGCACCAGCCTCACCCTGCTCTGGTTCCTGGGTATTGGCCAGGCCCAGTTCCTGACACCCTGACATCACTCCCTTCTGGGAATGCCCCTAGGTGCCTTTCACTGGCTGTCTTTATCACGCATTCCCCCTGCCCCTAAGGCTCGGCTACTTGTTCTGAGGAATACTGGCTAAACTATGAGTGTCAGAATGGCTTGGACTCTGGCTGTGGGCTGATTTCTCCCTCTCATTACTATTCCACTCCTCTTGATAACTCCCACAGTGTTCCTATTACTCGCTTCACTGCATTTGGGCAACCTCAAGAACAAGCTTGAGAACAACGTGGAGGGTATTGGCTTCAAGTGGATGCCAATGGAATTGTTACTAGAGGCGTTGGGACAAGAGCAGGAGGCAGGGTCATAAGGACCTAGAATCTATATAAAATACTCAGGTAATACCACACCCAGTCTAGCCAGAATCAGGTACCCAGATGCCCTTCTGAGGACATTAGCATCCCCCAAACTCTGAGGCCAAAACTGGGGCATTTCCCTACACCCAGCCCAAGGGGACAGAATCTTCCCCAGTCCTGAATTTGGGACCAGGTCAGTTATCAAAGCTAGGACTTGGAGACCAGGATATAGCCAATTTGAAACTTGGGCAGGACCCAGAGGCACTAGGACTAAGGAATTCTCAGATCTTGAACCCAACTCCAAGGCTTTTCCAGACCCTACCTCAGCTCTTATTCCATATCAAAGTATCGCAAAACCTCAAACCCAAGACCTAGGTGTTCTCAGCCATCTGGGTACAAAGCTCAGGCAGCCTAATCTTGTTGAACCTCTGGTGCTAGGTAGCCCTGACTCTCACCACTTACCTTCCTGGCTTCACTCCCCTCAAAGTTCTACAGTGGTAAGGGAGTGGGATGGGGGCAAGATGTCTACTGGGAATGGGATGGATAGATGATAGAGATAGATAGATAGATAGATAGATAGATAGATAGATAGATAGATAGATAGATAGATAGATAGATAGATAGGTGTTGTCACAAAAATAAAGGTCATTGCATCTCAAGCCAATTTCAGCCTCCTGAATAGAGAATCCTTGGGTGTTTTAATGGATGTAAGTGACCTGCTTTTTTAATTCTACTAAAAACTTCCCAACAGGGTATAAATTACTCTTATCAAATATGTAGGTTGAAGGGACAACTTCTGAGCTCCTTCCTCAAACCTCTTACTTCTAGAGAGGAATTAAAGCATGGGGTAGTTAAGACATGAAATAGTTACTCTTCATTTGTATTACTAAGGGGTTTTGGGGTTGGCTAGATCTGTGAGAAAAAAAGGCAAAGCAGCCCATATCACAAAGCAATAAAGCCAAAACAAATTATATTGTAGGCTGTTACCACAGTGTTATTATATATATTTTCCCTGCAAAACATAGGGCGCCCAAACACAGGGCTGACAGAGGAGCAACACATAGATTCTGTTTATACATTTATTATAGAAATTCCTTTCCAGTGTGGGTTGTCTCTTGAGCCCAGATCCACTGGCACAAAAAAGTTTACCAGGTAAAGGGAATAGTGTGATGCCCAGCTCCAGAAAGTCAGATATATCATACAAAACACAGCTCTGTGAATTTGTTTTAAAAGTGGTATATGGAAGGAAAGCCAAGAAAGATGAGACATGATCCATGGCCAGACGTAACCTGAGGATTTTACTAGCTGCCAATGTTCATGCAGTACAGCATTTCCCCTCCACTATACCCTATAATTCTGCCCTTTTCTTTCCTCAGGGCTAAAGATAAACAACCAAAGACTGGGCCTCAGTCTATGAGCAGATGCATTGGGTAGCTAAGATGGGCTCCATCAGGTACCTATGGGTTATGGGAAAATGCACCTAAGCTCCCCCCACCCAGAGTTCAACCCATCCAAGTTTAGGCAAAGAGCCAACCTCTCCAAGAACTTCCCTGGTAGGGAGTTGTGTTCATATTTTAATTTCTTGGATGTTCAGAACAGGGTCCATTTCACGAATGGACTAGGGGACAGGAATGAAGCCAATCAAGACAAGATCATAGTTTCCATTTTATAAAACTTGTCTAGTATGGGAAAAAACAATGAACATTAAAACACAACTGTAAATAGAAATAAAGGAGGGGCTTGGAGTTCCCATTACATCATCCCCTGTTTTTAAAAGCTGGCTGAGGCCCCCCACCTTACTATGCCCATGGGGAGCAAGGGTACTCAGAAGGTCAGCTTGGTGCCCAAAATTGAGTGACCACACCCCAGGGCTCAGCAAGATTGGCTTTGTGCTCACGAAGAAGCATTCATGCCCAGGCCAACAAGGGGCCTATCCAAAGGGGTCAGACCAATGTCCCTGGTGTCTGAGGGTCAGAGCTGGATGACTGCTGCCCATCTAAAGTCAGGTCACTTAAACGAGTCCTCAGCTCCGATGGATACAGGAAGTCCGTGTAGTACCTTTAGAAGGGGTAGCAGGAACCGGAGAACAGATTGAAGATGGAGAAGAGGAGAAAAGACAGACATGACACAGAGAAAGAAAAGAGGTTTGTTAAGGAAGTGAAAATAAGCATAGAACAGAGCATCTTACAGAGGAAGAGAAAGGTGGAGGAACAGAATGTCCCTTCCTTCCAGCATCCTGGCTTCAAGGCTCATTTTCAGCAGACATGCATTGGCTGTTAAGCTATTAGAGCTTGGTAAAGAATTAAAGCTACCAACACCCAAGATACCCTTCCACTGGGACCCTTTGCAGCTGTTTGCTGGCCTGGATACTTTTGCCACCTGCCTCGACCCATACCCATCAGTAAAAGCACCCCCCATACCTGTTGGAGACAGGGGGCGCTGTGAAACTCCTTGAGTGCGGGAGTGATGCCTGGCTGGGGGTCCCATACAGCACCTGGCCCACCTCATAGCAACGGGTATGGAGGAAGGGTTGGTGTGGTGGGCCCATGTGAGGGAGCACATTCCGGCGCTGAGGCCCTGCAGCCAGTCCTGAGTTCCGGATATACCAGTCCCTCAGCCCCTCCAATGCAAGGTTCTTGTGGCCGCTGCGCTCAACAGGCAGGGGGAAACGGGTGGGTGGGTGCATCCATAGCAGAGGAGGTGGATGCACCTCTGGGCCCTCAGAGGCCTCTGGGGCCAAGCCACAGGGCTTGGTGCGGGTAGCACGAACATGGGGGTCCTTGCTGTGAAGGAGAGGGCTGCTGCCATCAGCTGCATACATAGGTGGTGAGCTTGGGAATATGGTGAGGGGCCCATCCCGGCGGGTGAGAGGTCCTGGGACCTCAGCTGCAGATACCAGCTCCCCCCAACCTACTCCACCATTACCTCTGGGCAGGCCCTGTTCCAGAGAATAGTCCAAGAGGAAGTCCCCACACACAGGTGGGTGCTTAGGGGCCCCACGAGAGGCAGGGGCAGCTGAGCTGGGCCGGGCAGCCCGAGGAGGATCCGAGGGACCAGCTGTGCGAGAGGAGAATGCAAGGACTAACTGTGGGTGCTCATATAGCACCTCACTGCTCTTACAGACCGGGGGACCAGCAGCAGCGGGATGAAGAGTGGCAGGTGAGGAGCCAGCTCCCTCTTCAGTGGCCCAGTCCACAAGCAAAGCCTCAGAGCTGTTGCTGCGGCGGGTGCGAGATGCAAAGAGGGAGGCGTGGTCAGAGGCAGGGTCTTCAGTCCAGGGAAAGCCCATCTGAGAGTCCTGGCTGCTGGACCATTGTCGAGAATGGAGGCCTTCAGGTCTGGAAGCACAGGGTAACAATGGATGTATTGCCAATAAAAGATGAGTTGTTAATCAGTTGAGTTTAATGCCTTCCTTAGCTGTTTCTGTGAATTTTCATCTCTAATATGGGTCCAGGTTAAGAAACTGTATGAAGATGTAAGGTGATGAGTATTTAAAGTTTCTATTACAGAGTTGAAGGAGTATTCTGGTGGCCTAGCAAGAAGCTGTGCTGCAATCCTGAAGGCATGTGGTTCTAATCCACCAGATGCTCCACAGGAACAAGATGAGTAATCTCCTCTCATGCCATTAACTGCCTCTGAAAACCCACCGGAGAGTCAGCTATGGGATGGTTCTGACTCAATGGCAAACAACAACAGTGGCAAGAAGATGCATTGCAATCCCAAAGGCACATGGTTTGAATCCATAAACTGTTCTCTGTGAGAAAGATGGGCAATCTCCACCTGTGCAATTTACTTCCCAGTTGGAGGGTTGGCTCAGACTTGAAGGTACTCAACAACAACAGTATTCCAGAGTTAAGGGAAGAAGTAGGGAATATATGGTGGGGAGTTCTGGGGCTATTAGCCCTAAGGGAGAAGTGAATATGTATAGGGTTAGAAAGGAAATGCTAGCCAAAGAAGGGTCTGTCAGAGGGATCTTCCAATCTTAATACATCTGAATCCTTATTCCCTGCTAAGACTCTGCTGCCTGCCTCCAGGATGAAGTCTTAATTTAGGATTGGAGTTTAAGAACCTTCCTAAACTCCATTTCATAATACATATGACCCTTACAGGTTTTAAGCTCCACAAGGACAGAAACTTTGTTTATTCATTGTCTAGAGACAACTTTTAGGCACATGTAAAACCGATCCTTTTATGCCTACAGTATCTTTTGATGGCAGAAATTTTTTATACCCATTTCACAAATGAGACGTTAGACAACAGTTCAAAGAAGGGAAATAACTTGTGTAAAATGCACAGAAAAGCTCATACTCTAAACTTCCGTGCTTCTCTTACAAATCCTCACCCAAATCCTTTCTACTAGGATAACTCCTATTCACCGTTCAATGTCCAGCCTCCCGTATTTTTTTAAAAAATAAGTGATTTTAACAAAAGTTTACAGAAAGGTTGGTTTTTATTCATTCATTGTTGTATATTTTCCTCCCTCCCCCTTCTCTCCCCCTCCCCTCTCCATTTTGCAATGCACTTCTTGTTGCAGATTATTGTCATACATGCCTAATAATACATTCCTTTCAGCTATATTCTTTTTTTCCCATCCATACTCTTTAATAATGCTCTTCTCAAAAATCTAAGTTAAAACTAACTTCCCTCCTCTGATCCTCAAACCCACTCTTAGAGTCTCCTTACTTGCAGAGCTGGGGGCCAGTGCCCCGGGTAAGGACAGGAGTGGCAGGCACACTTCGTCCCTCAAAACTGGAGGCACTCCTGGGTAGTGAACGTGTGGGGCTAAAAAGAGACAGGCAGGCCCAGTTGGGGGCCAGGTTAGAGATCACACCCACCATCAGGCCTTCCTCCTGGCCCAAGGTCAGGATTTCATGTAAACTCATGTGGAAGGGAGGGTAGGGTTTGCCTTCACCTGGTGGGGCTGGCCACAGAATTCCGCCGGCTCTTCAGATCCACATAAAGATCTGATGGGAGTGGTTTCCATGGGGCTCGCCGCTCAGGACTGCCCCCAGATACTACTCGAACCTGATCCCAGGCCTTGGGTGGTGAGAGCCGTTCAGCCAGAGGGAAGCAGCTACGAGGTTCCTCTGAGTAGAAGGGAGAAAGTAGGAGAGAAGTCAGTGAGAGGCCGCCCAGAGGAGTAGGGCAAGTTGGAGCAAAGAAAGCAAAAGAAGCAGTGAAAAGAAGCTACACTGCAATCCCAAAGGCATGCGGTTCGAATCCACCAGATACTCCGCTGGAGAAGGAGGGACAATATCCTCCTGTGCCAGTTGGATCTGATTTGACAGTACACAACAAGAAAAAAAAGCAGTGAAGGGGCAAAGAGCTGGCACAGGGTTAAGACAGCTGAAGAGGAGTTAAAGGACAAGAGGAGGAGAAGGGTTATGGGGTAGGAACTGAAACTGAGGGAACAATATTAAGATGAAGTTAAGAAAAGGAGGGGTTCCCACAGGAAGATGGGTAATGGCTAAGGAGGAGTAGGTGGAGATGAAAAGGACTGAACATTAAAGGGTAGGACACAGGACATAGGAAGGGGCAAGCCAGGATGATACGAGTCCTCACCATTATCATGGCTGGCCCCAGATTCTGAGAGGGAGCTGCTCTCTGAATGCAGAACTACGTCTTCTACAGGTAAGAAGGGGGAGAAACAGGTCTAAAAATCCAAGCCCTTCTGGATATATTTCCTCCCTAGTCTGTTCCTTTTCCAGAATTCATCTTCATTTCAATCCAAAATCACCATGAGGGGCTTGGTTTATCACTATACAAGTATCCAATGGCCCAACCCCTTCAACAGGTCAACTTAACTCTTCTTAGAGTTTGGATCTCTTAAGTTTGGACTACCTCCCTATATTCATCAGATGTTCATTCATCCCGCCCCCAAAAGTTCATTAGCCAGTGTGAATGGACCAGTCCACTCAGTGAATTAACTTTCCCACCATGGGAGATGGGTGACAGGATTTTTATGGGATGATGGGATCTGGCTCACCTTGGCTTAGTTGAACAAAGCGTGTGCTCAGGCAGGCTCCCTGGGTGGTGATAACTGCTCCTGTGGACAGCGGCAGTGGCTGGGGTGGTGGGAGCACTGGAAGGCCAAGGCAGGCCCGGACATTCCCAAGTTGCTCCTCCAGCTCGTGCAGCCTCCGAAGTGCATCTGCCTGGACCTGGCGCCTGCGCCGGCGCTGCTCAACACTCAGCTCAGGAGCCAGGGCCAGGCGGCGAGCAGCTGCTGCAATCTGCTGCTGCACTGATACCTCGCGCTCCAAGGCCTCAAGAGCCAGCTCCTGTAGGGCCCATCCAAAAGGAATGGGACAGCCAAGCACCAAGATGGACAATTAGAAGCAGAGCCCATCTACACCGGAAATGTGGCTTGCTCTTCCTGGGGGTGGAACTTATTCATTCCCTGGAGGTTAGGATTGCCCATCTTCTTAGGAGTAGTGGACTACCCTGACTGAGTTGGGGACCAGCTGGAGTTTGTCATACCTAGAGGCAGGGCCTATATTGGGACCTGTTCCTTTGCCTTGTCCTGAAAACCACTGTACCTCTTTACAGAACCCACCTCCCTCAAACCCATTTTAGCCTCTCCCAGGCCTGGGCTCAATCTCTATTTTGCCTGTTTTCCCTCTACGCTCCTCCTCCTTTGTACCGTTCCTTCCCCAACTACCAAAATGCTCTTTAAATCAGCTCACCTCAGCAGGGTACAAGGAGTGGTATGCTGGGTTGGGGTGTGATGGAGGGTATGTGCGGGCTGCAGGGGGCCGCCGTCGGACCAACTGAGGTTGTTCACCAGGCTCCAAAGGGCACTCAGGGGGCAGTTGGCCAGTTAGCTCCTAGGTGGGAGTCAGGAATCAGAGACTACCAAGAGTTAGTTGCAGGGAGGAGATGTACAAAGTAGTAATGACTCCAAAGCTACAGAGGTCCTACTAGAAGCCTGGCTCTGTTTAGTATCTCACACATGTTATTTCTCTTTCTTTTCCCAGGTACACACTGTAGAGTCTCAGTCCCTAAATGATCCAAATCCCTGGGGTAGTGGAATTAAAAAATTTTTATAAAGGCAACACAGCCTATACATTGCTTATTATATAACACTCTGATCAGAATCCGAGACTTCATACTCCGAGCCACATTATTATTTCTGACAAGCTGTATAGATATCCACACCAAACTTGTTGCAGATGAGTTGATTCTAACTTGTAGTGACCCTATAGGACAGGAGAACCACCTCATAAGGTTCCCAAGGCTATATATGTTAAAGAAGTAGACTGTCACATCTTTCTCCAACAGAGAAACTAGTGGATTCAAACCACTAAACCTTTCAGATAGAAGCCACTAAACCACGTGCCATAAGGGCTCCTTCATTAAAAACACACTTCATTATTATTTCTGGCAAACTGTGTGAATATTCACACTAACTGCGATAAAGAGAAATTATAAATCATTCCATGTCAGTTCAGGTCGGATACTGCTGCCAAATTTTGGAAATAACTTTTGGGGTTTTATTTCAGAACTATAGATAAAGGATTATGGTCCTATATCACCAATTTAATGGATTTAAAAGTTCTCAGCTAAGCTCTGATGAAATAGAGGGTGACAGATATTCTATACACACTACCTCAATTTGCCTACCCCGCTCCCCACTCCTTACGCCCCTGGGGTCAATCCCTCACCGCTTCCCGAAGACACATTTTTCGTAGTTCCTGAAGTTTCAGGCTCAGCATCTCCTGCAGGGCCCGCTGTCGGTCAAGCAGCCCCCGCAGACGTTCTGATTTCACCTGGGAGGTGACCTCTCCGAACAGGGCAGCTGGACACAGAGGGAGCAAAGATAAGTGGGACAGTCAGGGCACCCTGGAACAGCTGTGGTGCCAAGGAGCTCAATTCTCAAGAGGACAGGTAGTGAGTGACTCAGAGAAGGCAAAGAAACAAAAGGAGAGGGAACTAATCACAAACCTGGGGCATTGAAGGTGGTAGAACTTATCAGCTGACCTTTGATTTCCATTTTGGTGCTGTTAAGAGTTTGTGGTTGATGGCTGGACAAAGCCTAGAAATGATGCACAAGAGCCATTAAGGAAGTACATTCCATAATACTCAACCCTCACCCCTACCCGGCACCCCACCCACCTGCTTGACCTGCCCTTTCAGAAACTTTGTCAATGCCTGAACCCACTAGGGCCTCCCCAAATGGTGCTGGCCCTGGTACCTTGATTCCCTTCCCATTGAGTGGGAGTACAGTAAGTGGGGAGCTGGGCGGACTTATACCACCACCTCAGAGGCCCATGGGCCACAGCCAGGAGTCTTGCCTGGGAAGAAAGAATTAATGGTTAATGGTATAAATTCAGCCAACACTAACAGTGCACTAAGCAACTGGGTACCTGGCACATTTAACCTTCACAATAGCTTTATTTTTTTATTTTTTTTTTTAATTTTTATTTTATTATTTTTTTATGCATGTACCGTCAAATCAGATCTGACTGGTACAGGAGGAAATTGTCCCTCCTTCTCCGGCAGAGCATCTGGTGGATTCAAACCGTGTACCTTTGGGATTGCAGTACAGCTTCTTGCCACTAGGCCACCAGAGCTCCCCCACAATAGCTTTATGATGATTATTAGTACCCCCATTATAAAAATGAGAGTAAGAAAGAGTGGTGAAATAACTTGCCCAAAGTCACAGACACAACTAGGCCTACCCTTTCAGTTCAACATTTTCCCCCCACTAGAGCTACTCTCTTTCAACATCTTACCCCAATCTTTAGTTTACACTTGTCATTCCTGGGCTTAAGGGTCACTTTCAGAGTTAAGCCTCGGCATTTTGTCCTCTCACTGTGCCACAAAAGACTATACTTTCCTTATACATCCCTGTGGACAAGACAAGTATGTGACTTGTCCTGTTTTCTTCAGCACCTTCAATATTGCTGTGCACTCATTAAACACTCAATGAATGCTACGAGAATGGATAAATTAATTAAGAGATAGCATAGCTCAAGCCTGTCCTAACTATCCAGTGGCCCAGGTACAAAAGGAAGACTGTTTTCATTGACCCCAGGGTCCCTCTAGCCACAATTAAGGGAGCAGACCTTGCTGTGATTTGTGAGAAGCAAAGTCCACAGCTGTAGATAACAGACCAACTGCTTGCTGCCCTTCTCTGCTCTAGAGTCCCTGGCTGATCTCCAGTCTGGCCCTTGTCTCCTCTGGAATTTGCTTCCACCTTCCCTCCTATATCCCATATAGTCCCCAGTTAGGCAGCCAGGTTCTATCACCTCTATCCAAGTGGCTTGACCTCTATGGCAGGCAACCAGAATGGCCTTATGGGATCACAGAGATCCATCCCCACCCACCTACCAAAAATCAACAATTTGTTTATGTTATGATAGCCAAATATGAAGAAGAGCAAGTCAACTACGGAGACAAGGGCTTAAGCCCACTCCCTATTTATTTTAAGATTTGACTAAACTGCCAATATGGTCCCAATAGTTTCTCTGTAGTCATCCTATGCGTTTGAACCCTTCCCTTGAAACAGTAATACTCATCCTTCACATCAGGGGTGGAAACCAGTCCACAGAGACAATTCAGGTACCTCAGAGGCACTCACATGTTCACAAGGTTTGGCAAGAGGTACTGAATATTTCAGCAAACACACATTTTCCAGCATGGCTGGGTTTCCTTGAGGTCTCAGCCCTCTCTGCTGTTTGGCTTCTGGATTTCCCTCTTTCCTAGTTTCCATCTTGATCTAGGGAACTCTCACAGGGCTCTCCTGAGCTTTCCTCCACTACAACAGGAATCTCAACTCATCCCATGGGCCTGTTTGCCAGGATTGGCTTTCACTGGCTGCCTTTCTCCTCCTGTGAGCTCAAGGCATCCTGGAAGTCAAAACTGGGTTCAGACAAGAACTCTGAATCTACCCTGTCAAACTGACATAGGACATAGCTAGGAGCTGACTCACAAGGTCACTGGATAGGCTAGATATAGGGTCAACGCCCCACACCTCCACACATAGCCCCCAAATCTTTGTCTCCTCTCATTTGCCCTCTGCCTAACTTGGGGCTTGGGCCCACTCTATCCCTATCCAGAAATGGTGAGAAAGGGGATCCCCGAAATCCTCTCTTCAACACACATCTGCAATAGCCCTTGGGTCTTCCCACTGGTAACCCCATTGCCCTTTCCTGTCCCAGGGATTGGCTATAGTATGAGAGCTACAGAAGGCATCCCACATACACCCAGCATCAAGTCCAGCAGGTTTTTCAGGTCTGCTCTTCTGACCTCATAGCTGGGAAAGAAATTCCTGGCTGTAATGACTGTTTACAATCCAGACACCTCATCTGGGTGGCACTAATAGCCTCCATAGGACCCTTTTCCACAATCTGCCACCACTGAAGCAAACACACACACTCATATTCTTCTTCCACTCTAGGTGAATAAATAAATGTGGATCAGATAGGCAGATACCTATATAATTATTTCCCAACAGCCTAGTCTGGGTTTTATTGGTTGTTTGGATGTTGGGGTAGGGGAGGAGGAGAGGAAGTACAGAAAGTGTGAGTGGAGCAGGAAGACACATACTTCTTATCCCAGCTAAGCCTTCTCCTGTCTTGTTTCCTTTTCCAATTCTGGCCAAGAATTGGCTCCATGTCAGGAAAGTAAATCAGACATTTTATATCATCACCACTACCAACCCACTACCTTGCTCCCTACTCTGACCCTGCAATGTTGGCTTGGTTCTCTCCTGCTGGGGAACTTTAGTTCATCCCACCCAGTCCCCTAAATGCTCTCCTCCCACCTCCTTCCCCACCACTCCCCACTCAGTCTCAGTGCTCACCAATGCCAGAGAGCTATTGTGGGAGAGCTTCAGGTATCTCAAGTAAATGGTTGTCTTGACCAGGTCCTAGCACTGGCTGGTAGTTCCTGGTGGCAGCAGCTTCTAATGCTTTCAGCCACCTCCCACAAGGGAATGGCCCAGCCTACTTTGTCTGGGATGGGCCAGCTTATACCTTTTAACCCTTCCCTGCCTGTTACTAGTAGGGCCATCACTGGGGACAGTTTTGGGGCCAGATTCTCTCATGGTGCTCAGCATGGCCAGGTAAGGATCCTGGAACTGTTGTTAGATGCATCAAATGGACTCAAACTCATAGCGATCCTATGAACAACAAATCTGAACCTGGTCATATGCTGCACCATCCTCACCATTTCCGATATGCTCGAGCCTACTGTTATAGTCACAGCATCAATCCATCTTTTTTTTTTTTCATCAATCCATCTTGATGAAGGTCTTTCTCTCTTTCTGTGAACCTCTGTCATTCCCACCAGGATGTCCTTTTCCAAGGACTAGCCTCTTCTGAGTTTCACCATTCTTGCCTCTAAGGAGAACCCTGGTTATACTTCCTCCAAGATAGACTCTTGTTTGTTCTTTTGGCAGTCCATAGTATATTCAACACTCTTCTCCAATACCACAATTCAAAGGAATCGATTTTTGTCATCCATTAATTGTTCAACTTTCAGATGCACAGGAAGCAACTGAAAAAGACCATGACTTGAATCGGGCACACCTTAGTCTTTAAATTGACATCACTGCTCTTTAGCACTTTAGAGAGGGCCTTGGCAACAGATTTTCCCAATGCAGTATGTCTTTTGCTTCCTTTAGTGCTGTTATCATGGGTATTGATTGTGGATCCAAGTAAAATGGTATCCTTGACAACTTGAGTCTTATCACCATCTATCATGTTGTTGCCTATTGGGGGTTCAGTGGTGAGGATTTTTTTTTCCTGACACTGATATTAATCCATACTAAAGGATGTAGTCTTTCATATTCTCTAGCAAGTACTTCTGGTCCTCCTTGCTTTGAACAAGCAAAGGTGTGTCATCTGCAAAACACAGGATATTAATGAGTCTTCCTCAGTCTTAATGCTATATACTTCTTCATTTAGTCAAGCTTCTCAAATGATCTGCTCAGCATACAGACTGAATAGTTATGGAGAAAGGATACAACCCTGATATATATACCTTTCTTGAATTTAAACTACGCAGTGTTCTCTTGTTCTGTTCATACAGCTGCTTCTTGGCTTATATAGAGGTTTTGCATACAACAATTGTGTTTTCTGAGATTCTAATTTTTCTCAATGTTAGCCATAATTTGTTATGATCTACACAGTCAAATACCTATGCATGATCAATAAAACACAAGCAAACATCTTTCTGGTATTCTCTACTTTCAGACAAGATTCATCTGACATCAACAATTATATCCCTTGTGTCACATTTCTGAACCCAGCTTGAATTTCTGGCAGTTTTCTGCTGATATACTGTTCCAGTCATTTTTAAATGATATTCAACAAGATTTTACTTGCATGTGATATTAATGATATGTTCTATAATTTCCACATTCTGTTGGATCACCTTTTTTGAGGGGGAATGGGAACAAATGTGGTTCTCTTCTTATCATAGACTGTTCAGCATATCCAGGTTGCTGCTATTTGTTGAAACCTATCAACTGATATTCCACTGGTTCCTGTGGCCTTGTTTTTTGCCACTGCCTTCAGTGCAGCTTAAACTTGTTCTTTCATTACGGTTGGTTTTTGATTAATTTTGGTACAGTGACTATGTGCATTCCTTCCACCTTCTATTGATGCTTCTTTTTGGCCTTCTTGAGCTGCCCTTTGATATCTTCTGTTCTCTAAGATCTAGTGCAATTTTCAGAGTCCTTCTGACATTCATTTTGGTATTTTCTTTCAGTCCTGTCTTTGTAATGACCTTTTGCCCTCTTCATGGATGGTGCCCTTGATATCATCTCCCAACTCGTCTGGTCTCTTTCCCCTCCCTCCCTTCATGTGGTCTTTGATTATTAGTGTTCAATGCATCAAATTTATTCTTGAGATGGTTTTTAAATTCAGGTGAGATGGACTCTAGGTCATATTTTGGATTTGTTTCAATTTTTTTTCAACTTCACTTTGAACTTGCACAAGAGTAACTGATGGTCCGTTAAACAGTCAGCCCATAGTGTCTTCACTGCTGATATTGAACTTCTCTATTTCTTTCCACAGA